AAATTGGTCTAATTACAATTATAAATTTTAAAAAAATTAAAAAGTTAAAAAGCTAAAGGAAATGGACAATTTTCTGGATAATATCACTTACCAAAATTAAAGCAAGAACAGATAAGCAATTTAAAAATACCTATAACCCCTAAAAATAGAAGCAGTTATCAAAAGTCTCACAAATAACAAAAGCCCAGGGTCAGATGGTTTCAGTGCAGAATTTTACCAGAAATTCAAAGAAGAGATAATACCAATACACCTCAAATTGTTCCAAACAATAAAAGCAGAAGGGTCATTGCCAAACTCTTTTTTACAAGGCTATAATTACCTTGGTACCCAAGCCACACAAAGACACAACTAAAAAAGAGAACTACAATATCCCTCATGAATATTGATGCAAAAATACTCAATAAAATACTGGCAAATCCAATCCAAGAACACATCACAGAAATTATCTGCCATGATTAAACAGGCTTCATCCAAGGGATGCAGGGATGCTTCAACATAAAAAAAATCTATCAATGTAATCTACCAATATGAACAAACTAAAAAAGAAAAACCACATGGTCATCTCATTAGATACTGTTGGACTTTTGACAAAATCCAACACCCCTTCATGATAAAGGTCTTGGAGAGGTCAGGGATAACAGGAACATTTCTAAACATAATAAAAGCAATATACAGCAAACCAATATCCAACATCAAACTAAATGGAGAGAAACTCAACGCAATTCCTCTAAAATCAGAAACAAAGACAAGACTGTCCACTCTATACCTCTTCAATATTGTCCTTGAAGTTCTAACTAGAGCAATAAGACAACAAAAGGAGATTAAGGGAATACAAATCGGAAAGGAAGAAGTCAAACTCTCACTATTTGCAGATGAATGATAGTCTATATAAGTGACCCGAAAAACTCTACTAGAGAACTCCTACAGCTGATAAACACCTTCAGCAAAGTGGCAGGATACAAGATTAACTAAATCAGTAGCCCTATTATATACAGATGATAAATGGGCTGAGAAAGAAATCAGAGAAACATCACCCTTTACAATAGCCACAAACAACATAAAATATATTGGGATAATGCTAACCAACCAAATGAAGACCTGCATAGCAAGAACTATGAGTTTTAAAAAAATTAAAGAAGATACCAGAAAATGGAAAGATCTCCCATGCTCTTGAATAGGTAGGATCAACACAGTAAAAATGGCAATCTTGCCAAAAACAATCTACAGATTCAATGCAATCCCTATCAAAATACTGGTACAATTCTTCACAGACCTTGAAAGAATAATACTCAACTTTACAATTAAAAATAAAAGACCCAGGATAGCCAAAAACAACCCTGTACAGTAAAGGAACTTCCAGAGGCATCACCATCCCTGACTTCAAGCTCTATTACAGAGCTATAGTAATAAAAAACAGTTTGGTATTGACACAAAAATGACAGGTAGACCAATGGAATTGAATTGAAAACCCTGATATTAACCCACATATCTACTAACACCTGATTTTTGACAAAGAAGCTAAAATTCTACAATGGAATAAAGAAAGCATCTTCAACAAATGGTGCTGGCATAACTGGATGCTGGTGTGTCATAGACTGCAGATTGATCCATATCTATGGTCATACACAGAACTTAAGACCAAATGGATCAAAAACCTCAAAGTGGGAAGTGTCTTTGAACAAACTGCTCAGGAGACTGCTCCATGAACATAACACAAGTAGCACAAACAGAGATCAACAATTAATAAATGGGACCTCCTGAAACTGAGAAGCTTCTATAAGACAAAGGACACAGTCAATAAGACAAAATGGCAGCCCACAGAGTAGGAAAAGATCTTCACCAAACCCACATCTGACAGAGGGCTGATTTCCAAAGAATATAAAGAACTCAAGAAGCTAGTCACCAAAACACCAAAGAATTCAATTAAAAAGTAGGGTACAGAACTAAACAGATGTTTCTCAATAGATGAATCCAAAATGGCTGAAAGATACTTGAGAATGTGCTCAACATCCTTAGCCACCAGGGAAATACAAATCAAAACAACTCTGAGATTCCATCTTACTCCTGTCAGAAAGGCTAAAATCAAAAACATAAATGATAGTTTATGCTGTAGAGGATGTGGAAAAAGGGGAACACTCCTCCACTGCTTGTGGGAGTGCAAACTTGTACAGCCACTTTGGAAATCAGTATGGAGACTCCTCAGGAAAATGGGAATCAGTGTACCACAAGATCTAGCAATTCCACTCTTAGGCATATACCCAAAAGATGCACATTCATACAACAAGGACATCTGTTCAACCAAGTTCAAAGCAGCATTATTTGCAATAGCCAGAACCTGGAAGCAAGCTAGATTCCCCTCAACTGAAGAATGGATAAAGAAAATATGGTACCTTTACACAATGAAGTACTACTCAGAAGGAAAAAAAAATGAAATCTTGAAATTCACAGCCAAAGGGATGGAACTAGAAGAAACAAACTTGAGTGAGGTAACCCAGTCACAAAAAGACAAACATGGTATGTACTCAGTCATACATGGATTTTAGACATAGAGCAATGATTACCAGCCTACAATCTACACCACCAGAGAAGCTAGGAAACAAGGAGGACCCTAAGAGAGACATACATGGTCCTCTGGAGAAGGGGAAAGGGACAAAAGCTCCTGAGCAAATTGGGAGCATGGGAGGAGTGGAGAGGGATTTAAGAGAAAGAGAAGGGGAGAAGAAGAGGGAAGAGGAGGACATGAGGCAGCAGGAAGTTTGAGTCGGGGGAAGAATAGAGGAGAGCAAGAAAAGAGATACTATAATTGATGGTGCCATTATAGGTTTAAAGAGAAATCTGGCACTAGGGAAATGTCCAGAGATCTATAAAGATGACCCCAACTAACAATCTAAGCAATAATGGAGAGGCTACCTTAAATGCCCTTCCCTGATAATGAGACTGATGACTACATTATATGCCATCCTAGAGCCTTCATCCAGTAGCTGATGGAAGCAGAAGCAGACACCCACAGCTAAACACAGAGCTGAACTCTGGAATCCAGTTGCAGAGAGGGAGGAGCATAGTCCTGCCCCAACTTAATGTGCCAGACTTGGTCAACTCCCATGGGAGCCCTTACCCATTGGGAGGTGTGAATTTGGGGTGGACTGGAATAGAAACAAGGGGGGCAGGATAAGGAATGGGAGGGAGAACTTTGGTTGGAATGTTAAAAGAAGTTTACAAAATTAAATAAAAGAAGAATCTCAGAAACAGTATTTTACAGAACAATATTCTAAAATTTCATTCATAAGGATGTTGTGAAGAGTTGGGGTTAAATTATTTCAGCCTTGGGGTAGACATGATTGTACATTATTTCCATCCATTTGTACACCATTCACTTCCTTTATACATAGGCAATGTGAATGGACTCATGCCCTCTGTGAAGATGTCTATGACCTTTGCAAAACAATAAATTAAGCCTTATTTGTGGCATTCACAGAGTCATTTGCAAATAATCTACATTCTTATGTAACACTGAATTACAGATATTTATGTAGAATCTGCCAGTCTCTACAATAAGACAAAACCACTCTTCTATAGAATACAGTTTACACCATAAGGATAGAAAAGGTATTTAATTTCATCCTTCCACCAGCCTTTGTGCTTTAAGTGATGCTTTTAGGTGCATGTTTTAAGTGGAATGCCAATGACTACTTTTGTCTTTCTTTTTTCACCTACCATAGAAAAAATGAACTATTTTTCATGAGACAGTGTTCTTCCAAACAACATTCCACTGTGCTAAATGAAAACAAATGAGGATTGTACAAACATTTTACTGTGTATATGTATCTTTGTGTGTGTGTGTACATGCTTTATCAATGAGCTGTGTGTTTGAGTGTGTGTGTGTGTGTGTGTGTGTGTGTGTGTGTGTGTGTGTATGAATGTATGTATGTGTGTGTACATGTTTTATCAATGAGATATCCCCTTGCCCCTGGTACTAGATGTCTTAATGCTCTTCATATAAAGAAATTTATAGGGTATAGTTGTGTAAACAGATAAAACAACATACATTAATATCAGTATATATGAAATAGTAATATACTTAGCATACATTAAAACTAACACTAGAATGTTTCATACAGAAGCTATTTTCTTGTAAGAAATAATAGTCAGGTATTTCTCCATATAAAGAAGTTTACAAATCACTTCTATTAGACTTTCTCTTTGCAGCAGATGGAAAATGTTACAGAAAACCAATCTAAATGAATTTTAGAGCCCAGACCCAATGGGCTCTAAAACCTCTGTATTTAAGGTTCAAAGATCATCATAGCTGATAATGTTGGGGATACTGTGAGAACCAGAAAACTGGGGTGTTTTCTGTGAGATTGTGTCTCTGAGAAATGTCAGAAGTGACCCCATAAAGTCTCACTAATATCATTGCATAAGCATTTGCTGAACAAGAATGACACCACACTGGTAGACATGCTAATGTGGATGAGGGAAGGTTCATGAAGCCTCAACATTACACAAAAAACTACAGATAACTAAGGAGCATTTGAGAACATAAGAACCAGCCTTTACCAGAGACGATAGCACCGACTGTCCAATACCAAATGGTCAGCCTTGAAAACATACATACATACATACATACATACATACATACATACATACATATGAAAACATATGTATATTCTGTATATATGTATATGTATATATTGAAATAAGAGGCCATGAAGCCATAAATTTGACAGAGAGCAAAGAGGAAAGATTGGAAAGATTGGACAGAGGAAAGGGAATGGGAAATGAGGCAATTGTATTATCATCTCAAAAAATAAAACAAATAATTTTTAAATACACATATTGGACTCAATATTATCATTTTTTTATGCTTCCCTTATTTTCCATATTGCTCCAAAACAAAAGCAAACAGCTAAGTTGGAAAAAAAAAAACTATTTCATACAAAGATCATCAGAAAGGAGACAGGACATCTCATGATGAATCACAAGTGACATCTCTCCCCTACCTGTGTTCCTAAACTGGCTGCCATCATGTGAGTCAGAAGTTTAGCTGCAAACATCGAACTCCTGGCACAGAACATGTGTGAAACAACAGCCAAGCAAAGACCTGTGGAAACAAAAGATTCCACATGAGGTTTCATAATCCACGAAGAGATTATGTGTACAGAACAAAAAATCTCTGGGACAGTTAAGCACAAAAGCTCAACCTCTATACAGCATAACATAATACCTCTGGGAAAGATTATGCTGAAATTCCAACATATTCCATTTTTCGTGATAGTAGATACCATCTTCACATTTATCAATTAACATAAGGATAACTAATTTTCCAATTATTTACAAGTTGTCTGCCAGGTAAAAAGGAAGTATCATAAATAAATATCATCAATAGTTTTTTGGGGTTTTTTTGTTTGTTTGGTTGGTTGGTTTTTCGAGACAGGGTTTCTCTGTGTAGCTTTGGAGCCTATCCTGGCACTCACTCTGGAGACCAGGCTGGCCTCAAACTCATAGAGATCCACCTGCCTCTACCTCCTGAGTGCTGGGATTAAAGGTGTGTACAGCCACCAATGCCCGGCAACATTAATAGTTTTAATAAGCATTTTATTTTAATAAGCATCTTATTTTCTAAGTTGGTATTAGTCAACTTGACTGTTTAAGGAATGGTTTTCTGTCCTATTTATTTTTTTTTTTAGAGTGAATATCTTAGGTAAGCAAAAATATTTAGAAAGGTGACCAGAACCTTTTAGACGTAAGACCAGGAATGACCTCCAAAGCTGATGTTCACAATTCACCATTCTTGGCCAACAGAAGCATAGACATGGCTACTGCAGTGGTAGCGAAGAACTTTCAGCTAGCCCTCTGCTGCTGCATGTCAAAACCAGGACAATTTTTTTCTGTTCATCCACAAAGAAATTAAGTATTTTCATTTCTAGCTGGCATTATTATCTTTAAACCTGTGTGTCCATTTTGAGATAAATTGCTGTTGGATAGCCCAGGCTGGCCTTGAAACTGCAACCTCTCTGCCTCAGCCTCCTGGGTGCTAGAATTATAGCCATGCACAAATATACCAGAACTTGAAGGCAGAATACTTTAAGAATATTTTCTGCCTTAAAATTTTCAGATATTATAATAAACAGTGACCATTCATTTGTTCACTGGGGCTTTTTACACACATTTTTGTGCATTGGATTGTTCTGTGTAAGAGTTATTGAAGTATTACAAATGCTGGCATGCGTAGACCACTTAGGCATGTGTTTTCCATATTATTACCTCATTTAATATCAATGCCTTCTTGAGAAACATGAGACATTGCACTGATTTAACATTTTGTTCCCCATTTTATTCTCTTAAGCTGTGTAGTGAGCTTTCAGAGCAAACCACATGTCAGCATAAATGGACTATTCAGTGACTTTTTCCCTCTAATTTGGTAATCAATTCCGAATCATATCCCTGTTCTGCCACCGGAACTTAGCACAATTAAATGGGATCAGCTTAGAAACATGTGACTGGGTATAAAAAGCTTCATTCAAATGCTACCATGGCCCTCGACTGTAGTTCAGGAATCAAATCCAGAGATAGGAAAGCAGACAGGATCGTATTAATGTGTCAGTGTAATGTGCCACAGTTATCTGGCCATACTAGTTAGTTTTATGTCAACTTGACACAAGTCAGTGTCATCCAGGAAGAGGGAACCACAACTGAGAAAATGTCTCCATCAGCTTGGACTGGAAGCAAGTTTGTGGGTGCATTTTCTTGATTAAGACTGATGTGGGAGGGCGGTCTCACTATGAGGAGGACCACCCCTGAGCAGGTTGTCCTGGGTCATACAGAAAAGCAAACTGAGTGAGCAATGGAAAACCAAGCCAGTAAACACATTCTTCCATGGCCTGTGCTTGATCATGCCTCTGGCTGCGGCTTTGAGCTCCTGCCCTGACTTTCATTCATGAAGGACTCGAGCTGTGAGCTGAAATTGAGACATTCCTCTCCAAGTTGCTTTAGATCAGTGTTTTAATACAGCAATAAGAAGCTAACTAGAACACTGGTTCATTCTTCATCAAAAGGAGAATTCTGATAAGAATCTTAAGCAAATCGTACTCTTAACTAGGCAAAGCCATCTGGCTTTGGACAGGATATAGAATACTTAAGCTTTAAAGAAATAAATATTTTAGTTAGGCAGTTTCTAAATCACTACATACAAATTTAAGTACCCAAAGTACTATACACCAATATCCAAATTTAGGAAAATAAAGTTTCCTCAGACTAGAAAAAGAGTGCTTATGTTCAGTATATATACTTAATGTTTACAAGGAAATATTTTTAATTGCAGTTCTTTAGCTCAAATTCCTCACTATAAATATTCAAATCACAAAACATAGAATGTATAATGATAGAACTTCTAAAATAAAGTATAACAACTCCATATATTACCTAAATATGCACTCTACAGTCTTTACAATTTTATTTGTTAGCAATTCTATAGAGAAACAATCTGCTGAATAATATTCCTTTTTTTCTAGCCCTATATGGATTACAGGTTGAGCTGGAAGAGAAAGAACCCTCACTTAATCCACTGGCACAAATGATTGTCTATACATTTAAGAGAGAAGGAAGATTCGTTGCTCTTCATAATATAACAACATTGATAGCATGTGATGGCTAGGGCACAGTCCAGAAGCATATATCTTCTGTACATATACAATTCTGGACTAGTTACATGAATATAAATACATGTGATGTTTGTATATGAGAAGGAAGAGCCAGGAGACATTGTTGTTCTTCAGCATATTTTACAGGTGGAAAATACTCCCGTGTAACTGCAATTTAGCCCCATACAAGACAAATGTTAGTAAATTTTCTACAAATTTTTCTTTAAGATATTTATGAAGTTTGCATTTTAAGGTATCAGTTTATCACTCTATTTATACCTGCTTCCTATTTATATAAAGCCAAATGAAATCAGCTTAGTGTTACTTCATTACGAATTCAAGTATTAGCTCTTTAACTTAGTTTTTTTCTTCTTTTTCTACCTCATGCTACCTGTTATTGTAGGGTTTTCTACTGTTTTGTTATAAACAGCTGAATTCATACTTCTTTCAGTTTTCCCTCCACGAAATGTGCTTTTGTTAGTGCTCCTAATAAGCTAAGGGTGGGGAGAAAAAGCAGTCAACCCTGAAAGGTTTCCCAGTAGGAACAAATGTCAGCATGAGGCACCTTGGAACATATAACTCCATGTGTTAGGGGTTGGGTTATGTTGCCAGAGAGATAAGAGCCTTGGCAATTAAGGAGTTGATCCTGAACATGACAACTACTAGCCCATGGAAGTTGTTTAAATTTAAATTTTCATGAGTTAAATTAAATAGAACTTAAATTTCAGTCATATTCCAAGGATGCTTGCCCACACATAGCCAGTATCTCACATATTAGACAGGATGAAGTATTGTCACCATCACAGAAAGCCATACTGCACAGAACTGATGATTCTTCCTGAGTGACGAAAGAATACACTGTATTTCAAAAGAATTTGTACTCAAGTGACTATGATAATATGGTTGGAAAGAAGAAAGTTGGCACATTGCAACAAAGCACATCTGGTCTGAAACACTGTGTGCTACTTATTTCTTCAGCAAGAAATAGGACGGCCCAGTCCCTGCCAAATAAAACTCCTTTGCTGCCATTGCTAGAGAAACCCAACATCTTTATGTGGTGCACATCCATTCTAGGGCTAAGTGACTTCTTTTGATCTACATATATTCCTTCAAACTCTCCTGAACGCACCTGTGCTCGGGTTTAAAGCCTCCATTCCTGAGGCCCTGCCTTTCTGCCCCACTCCCCACACACAGACTTGTGTGTGCCAGAGGGGCTTCATCATGACTTTTGTTACTACCACAACCTTCTCAGGGTTAGCTGGTTCTTATTACTTTGAAAACCTATCAGCATTTCAACTTACAGGTGGGGAAAAAAGGCACTACTTGAAATTTTTGCCATTTTATAAATGATTTACAAGAGAATGATGGTCCTCAAATATTTTATTAACTTTCTTAACCTGTAAGGCTTACATTTAGCTGCTTACAAATTATTATTGATGATGAAATGACATTGTATGTGCATTTACACACAGTATTCTATTTTAAGTAGATACGATAATTGGCTAATTAATAAAGAACACTTTAGTTTGGGTAATGTGTTAAAGGATTTCTTCATGAAAAGGAAGTGACACCAGTATGAGAACAGACCCACCTCTAATAGTGTAAAACCACTTCCACCACAGGAAGCTGAGCTACAAACATCAAAATGACTGATTTCATTCTCTTAAGTTAAAATGGAAAGGAACTACACAATGAAGGTAACCGGTTGTCTTTAAGGTTCTAAGACTTTAAAATCTTTGTTAAGAGTCAAAGTCAGGTCTTGTCCTTAAGATATAGGGTAGCTAGGAGTTTCCCCAGGTCCACTCACCCCCCACTCAGGGATGAACCCAGGGCTGTTCAGATGGCTCCGATTACAGCCCCAAAGACATCAGTCCAGAACAGATGTCCTCTGTACCGTGGGACTGATAGAAGCCGGGGCCGGGCAGTGGGCACACACCTTAAGCCTTGCTGATCTTATTAGTAATTAGATTATGTCACGTCACCTGAAGCCATCTTAATTTACAGCTCTCCCAAGTCATCCCTGCTGGGGAATGCACACAGCCCTCTTTCATTGTTTTTCTCTTTTACTTTAAGGAATGGCCTCAGATTCATTTTCTGGTATTTGGCAAACCTGGGAACATTCAGGTATGTCTCCTTTCCTTTATTCTTTGTAAACTGAGGGTTTCTAAGCCTTTCCTTCACCCATTTCTCAAACTATATCATCTAGAACAGCAAACAGGCCAGCAAGCTGGAGCTGCCACAGACATCCTGGAAATTATTGTGACTAAAATTTACAGAGGCCAGCTCCCATGAATATGTACATTATTACCCTCATGGAAAAGACTAGTTAACTGTCATAAAATCAGAGCTATTCCATTTGGTCTGAACCAAACTACACATTATATATGTAAGAAACAAAAAGCTGTTTTTTTCAATTATTGAAGGCCCATCAGAGGAATGGACATTGGTTCTCTCCTGAAAAGATAACCAAGGCAAAAAGACAGAGTTGAGAGTCCTTAGTTATAAAATATTTTGAGTAAAGAGGAAATAAAATCTTCTATATCAACTTCTAGAAGATTTCGAATGACCAATAACTCTCCAAGGATGTGCTTTATGGTTCTATCACTTCTACATGAAATCAGAGACACCATGCTTTAACTTTTAAAACTCTCCAGTTTGATTGCAATGTTTGTATAAAGTAGGTCACAACAGCACTTGGATTTGTTTGTAAAATAATATCCAGATTTTTATTTCAATATGGTAACTTTTTATTCCATTATTCTATGAAACTTCTTTGCACATAAAATATACCACCATTGAAGTGTAACAAGTCTTCCTCTGATTTTGAAAAAATATCCACCTCGAAGAATGTACTAGATAAGAAATGTCATCCATTTTTTATGAAAGATGTTATTAAGAAGTGGAGATTCTTAACTCTTCCTAAGACTCATAATTCAGATACCTTAAGGAAAAATGGTGACTATGTAAAATTAAATTATATTGAAAATATTTAACAACCAGCACCAAGAATCATAATTAGTTACTTGAGTCTGTCTCCAGAAAGAGTTTCCACTGGATGCGGATTGCTAGGTGGATTGTCAGTACAATGCATTTAAAAAGACAACCCCTCACAATAACAGACAAATCCTCACTAAAGCAAAGTATCAGATGTGTGTGAGTTCATACTTACCAGCCTGACATGCAGATACGATTTGTGGTCATACACTGGGGGTAGGAATTCTGTAGTATACTGACACATACAATCAGAAATTTATGCTGGTTCCCACTAGCCAATGACAGAATCAGGACTTACTTGGACTAAGGCAGTCTGGGTGCAAAGTTATTTTTATAGTCATTCTCCCATATCGAGTTATCTATATAGCACATTGTTCCTAGAAACAATGGAGGGGTTTAGAGGGTAAAATAGTAGGCAGTAAGAGTGGAGGTAAGGTGTGCAGAAGTAGGGTAAGGTTTCCTCATACTTCTCACCACAACAGTACAGCACAGGAGAATGTCTACAGTTATGTTGTACATAAACAATTTGACAAACATTAATAGCATCCATGTTCCTGTCACTGAAATAAAAGAGGGACTAAACATGTTGAGTAGAAGATAATTTTTAGCATAGGGGTTGGTATGCTTAGAGTACCAAGGTTGTAGACTACTTAGTTATTAACTGATTCAGTAGAATATTTATTTTAATGAAAACAGAAAATCTTTGTATGTATTGATTTATGTCATCCCAATATTCTAATTGGAAAGCCTAAGTTTGAAAGCACAGTACACCACGAGTGGTTCCCTCCCGTTTTTTAGCCTCTACCTCATGCTGTATCATGTTCTTCTTGAAAACATGGACTCTTCTGAAAGGAAGTTCTGAGTTGACCCTCCATAAATACCTGCTGTATGTATTAATGGTTAAGACAATTCGAAAATGACAAGCCATAGTACGCTCATATCTTACACACACAAAAGAACTATGGGAAAGTTTCGTTCTCACACATATTTACAACTCACAACTTGAAAGCCCTACCACTGACCTGAGATGCATATAAACCCAGAGGAGAAAAAAGCTCCATTGTATGATGACAAGTTGTCAGTCTGGGCGTAGACAGCATACACAGACATGTGTGAACAGGCACATTCCACGTAGTCCGAAGTATCCTCCACCACTTTGCAAAACTGGCTGTCAGACAACCAGCTAGAACAAAACACAATAGCCACTGTTCTTTCAATAATATTTCAAAAAGATGTTCAGATTGTTTTAAATAACCAGCTGAAATTAAGTGTTCTTTACTCAAGACTTAAGCAGAATACATTTTCCAGAAGAAACACTGGAGGGAACATCTTGTCCAGGACATGACCCAACAGTTTCCATCAAGACACCTTAATAAGCGGTGTAAATACCAACCTCACCTGCCAGAGCATTTGCTGCATCAAAGAAGTTAGCCTTCTCAGCAACAGTGTAGCAACCTTACCCATCCTAAAGCAAATTTGCTCTTTCCTGTCATTCAAAAATCCCACAGATCAACATAACCATGACATGTGTGGATCCCCACAAATCAGCACAGCTGCCTCAGTCAGGGCTTCTATTGCTACAACAAAACACCACGACCAAAAAGCAAGTTGGGGAGAAAAGGGTTTATTCAGGTTACACTTCCATATAGCTTTGATTACCAAAGGAAGCCAGGACAGGAACTCAAATGGGGCAGGAACCTGGAGACAGGAGCTGATGCAGAGGCCATGGAGGGGAGCTGTTTACTGGTTCACTCCCCATGACTTTTTCAGCCTGCTTTCTTATAGAACCCAGGACTAGACCAGGGATGACACCACCCATAATGGGCTTGACCCTCCCCCACTGATCACTAATTAAGAAAATGCCTTAAAGCTGGATCTTATGGAGGCTCCGTCCTCTCTCATGACTCTAGCTTGTGTCAAATCAAGATAAAACCACCTAGTACAATAGCCACTGTGTATAGGGCTAACCTCTTCTCTTACTTTCAAAAGTCTTGAATTTTGCAGCACACCACACGGATGACTTGTGTGCTGTGGTGGTTTGAATGAGAGTGACCGGCATAAGCTCATATATGTGCACGCTCTGAAAGGATTAGGAGGTATTCCCTTGTTGAAAGAGATGTGGTCTGGTAGGAAGAGATGTTGTCACCATGAGTGGCTTTGAAGTTTAAAAAGCCCACGCCAGACCCAGTCTCACATACTCTCTCTCTGCCTGCATCTTACAGATAAGATACAAGCTCCCAGCTCCAGCTCCAGCATCATGCTTGTCTGCCTGCCTCCAGCCATGCTCCCTGGCATGACAGCCAGGGATTCCAACCCTCTGAAACTGTAAGCAGGCCCCAAATTAAATGCTTTTTTTTTATATAAGTTGCCTTGGTCATGGTGTTTCATCATAGCAATAAACCAGTAACTAATGCATGTGCTTTCCTGTGATTTCTTTCACAGCTTTTCTTTTCTTTTTTTTTTATTTTGAGTCACATATCATAAATACACTTTTCAAGGAACTTCAAGCATTTCTTTCAATGAAGTTCATCTCATTAGGAGTCAATCAGTAGCTACTTCTTGAACCTCTTCCTTTCAGTAATCTTGATTCCATTACTTTTCTACTGACATAAAACTTCCCAATTCAAAGTGAAAAGTTCATCTTGAAATTTACATTATTCATTAAATATTAAAGATTAGAGATTATTTATGAATTATTGTACTTTGACTTTCAATGGAGTAAACTGTTAAACACACTGTTTATTTTACTAGTGTTTATCTAATCCACTGAACGCTAATACAGCACACATGGCTATTTACCCCATGATTACATTGCTGACAACGTGCCATGGCTCACTGTCACTGCTCAGCATTGTATCACATATTACCAATATGAGAAAGATCAGAGTTCAAAATCTGAGTAGTTTCAGTAAAGTGTATCACTTCTGCATAAGCTTCAAGTATAAAATTACAAGTTGAACCATCACGTATAGAGAACCTTCTGTGTCAGATTTAAGATCCAGCATCACACATTACATGTTTCTGTTCAAAACCTTTTATTGAGAAGAAAGAGAGACTAACCCAAAAAGATTAGTTGGTTTCCCTGACAGGCTAAAATTCCACAAGAAACAAAATCTCGTGTCTGACAGACAGTAGACCCTGTCTCCCAACACAACCAGACCCTATAGCACAGACTTGAGTGATAGTAACTTTCTCAGGAACCTAAGTCAAGAGGCCAAAGAGACTCAAAGAAGCACTGAATCTCTTGTTTCTGCTGTGTCTGGATTTAATCCCCAACGGGCTCTGAGTCATCTGTGAACAAGACTTCTTAAACCCTACTGATCCCTCTAAAAATAAGCCAGGCTCCTGAACCACAGGTGGCAGGCTTGTAGGAAGGAGTTTCCTTTCATGTGTAACAAATTAACTGATAACTTCAGAAAACTCATCTAACCTGAGAATAACTCAAGCTACAGCATGTGCGAATAGCTATAATAAAGAACATCATACTTCACACACAACCAGCAGGTCCCCATTGGATTGATGCTGGACTATTTTTGTGACTGATTTACCTTACAGTAGAGACTGTTCCTCAGTCTGAAGTCTTACTGAGGCTACCATCTATGTTCAAGGCAAGTAGGTGCAATGTTTCTGGATGGGAGATACATAACACTTTTCTTAGGATTTATCAGTCCATACCTGACAGCGGCCTGATTCCAGAGGAGACAGAGAGATGTATGAGGAACAATTCTAGGCTCAGCTGCATAAATCCTATAGAGAACCTCATTGTTGTTAGGCAGGGGTTGTGCACTCTGACCTTTCACATTCAGGGACAGCACCTAGAATGTCAAAGAAACAACATTTAATGGTCATTTTCCAATTAGTGATATGACTGAGTCTCCCAGTTGGAACTGGATGTCATTTTTCTAATACCTAATACCTATTGTGTTTTCTTCAGTACCATCAGCTGGTTTACTTACTGAAGGCAATGGACTGGCTTCGTACTGTCCCAGTTCAACTCCACTGCACTCACTTTCAGTCTTTAGCTGACAATGCTCACTGTAAGTATCACTAGTTAACCTACTGGAAAGGTAGGTACATGCCAAGATATTATAGTAGGGAAAGATGTAGTTTTATACTTTGTCCATATACATACATACATACTCCACAAAACATGAAGGAAACATTTGCATTTCCAATTTCATTTGAAGGCAAAAATACTACAAATGGCATACAGAGAGAATAATTTTCATGCAACTCCTGGGTAAGCACCTGAAGAGCCAGCTAAGTTAATGTGTTCTGGATTTGTCTGGTAAAGGAAAACTGTGATAAAATACCACATCATTTTAAATGAGAGATTACCTTGTCTTTCAGGGCAGGAAGGTTGTTCCCTGCTATGAACCACTGCTGGCTGCTGTATTCCACAAACTGGACTAATGCACATGCCTTTTTCCCATCCAGCATTTCTGCATCAGGAACATCCAATAACCTCTCCGGAATTTGAATGTAATCACCTTCCTTTCCTTCAAACTTGTGTCCATTGATTTGCTGAGGGTACCAGTAAAGAGCCAGTATTGACAAATATGGGCAACTGTCAAGGATGGTTTTGCTTCTACAAGAGAAAAAAGTCTGTGTTGAATTGGCAGGTATTTGTATCAACACATCCAATTGTATTTACTTAAACATTTACATTGAGGATTTTTCTCTTCATGTAGAACAATGGCACTACTAATCCCAACACTAAATCACCATCTGCTTTAGGTTTCCCAGTGATGCTTCCATCTTTCCAATCCCTTTGCTTGATCTTTCTGGTAACCTAAAACAGGAGTATCTGGAAGCTGTTATATGCTATCACAATATAATCTGTGGCTTAGTTTTTACTCTTCTGTGTTAGTCACAGGCTGTGGTAGAACAGGCTGAAGAAATGGGATTCCCTCTAGAGTGGGCCTTTTTTATTTAGGATTGTAAAGCACATGCATCAATAGCTGTGTTTTCATCTCAGATGTACCTCATACCTTTCAGGTACACCAGAGCCTTCTAATATCATCATACAGCCCATAGGAAGACAGATCTGAATAGTGGTTTTGATGATTCTGTCACTTCTATTTTTTCACACTTCTTAGGGATAATAAGATCCTATGCTCAGCTGAATTGCTTCCAAACCTCAGTGTGAGTTGGACTTGGTTTAAAGTACAGGTGACATTCCGGTTTCAGTAATGCAAAATCCCTTATATAAGGAGCATAATCATGGCTCAAGGAATGTGAATCTGTAACTGTTTCCCCCAAAATTAGTAGTGAGTTGTTCCTGGAGTCATCCATCACCTTTGTAATAGTGAGAAGATCCAAGATAAAGTAAATATGAAACCTGCTTTCAACAGTGGAGAGACTACTAAGATACTGTGAGATGTATCTGTCCAATGTTAAAGGTTCTACCAGCCACAATGTAGTTAGTGGATCAAAATGATACCTTGCTAAGACCTGTACCATGAGAACTAGATCAGATAATGCTAAAAGAATGATGTGAGAAATGAAGTCGTGAAAGGGAATCTGTCCTTCTAGCTATATGTCCTTTTCCTTTTCATAACAAGTTTCTTCCAAGACTTAAGCGAGAGCATTTTAAGTGTTCAGTGTCAGTTGTATCAACCACACTCAGGTAAGGCCTCATACTCAGCAGTAGCTGACCAACAGATGTCGGGATTTTATGTGATTATTTTGGTTTGCTTTGGTTGGGGAGCTGAGTCTTTTTGAGAGAGAAAAAGAACGTGAAGTTGGGTGGGTAGGGAGGTGGAGAAGATCTAGAAGGACTTGGGTAGAGGGAAAGAATATGATCAAACTATACCATATGAAAAATTTTAAAAACAATTTATAATGTAGTGAAAATAAATAAACAAACCGGTCAATGGCTTTGATATTCTATTTTATCCAGGATGCGAGGTCTCTGGGTCAAGCCCCCTATGTAAACACCTCAATTTGCAATTGGCCCCATATACCTCACTTAATCTCTTCATTCAGCCTCCCCATATTAAACACTGTTATAACTTAGCCACAGAGCCCCTCACTAGGCACAAAGCCACAGAAACCAGAGAACTTCACACATCTGAACATTGCTTTAATACCCCACTTCCAAGACATTCAGTCTAGTCATGGGTCAGCCATCATGGTTCCAGCCACTTTGTAACAAACTATTGAAATGAAACCAACAACACACATGTCTTTTTCCCACAGGTACCCCAAATTTCTGGCCTCTCTTAAATGCTGATAACCAAACTCCCTCCAACACCTTAGCCTCTTACATCTTTGCCCTCCAAACACACTCACTTTGATAGTAACATCATCTGCTTCATACCTAGACTGAAGTAGGGAGGGGTACATGCTAATTGCCACCCCTTTACATTGGTACAGTAATCAACCTCAGTGCTAATTGCACTGTTTTTACTTGTTTTCCAAGTGGTTACTCGAGATTCCTTAATATTCTTGCTCAATTCTCAAATGCTCCCCTCTCAGCAGATGCACTAAATTAAATAATACTTTATAGGTAGAAACAGCATGATACCAAGAATTTTATAAGGTTCAGTGTAACCCTTCATAAAAGCTGGTGTATATAGTATGTATATGTTACAAATCATCACTTTAGGTAAACTATTGGAAGGTGGAGTTAGCGTTTTATTATTTGTATGCACTTGGATATAGCAAGGATATAATTAATATCAAACTTCTCTGTATTTTACACCTTGTCTTTTATATGTAATTTATTGGTTTTCAACTTCATGTACCTTCAACCAAAGAACTAGTATTCAAATTTTTATTTATTCAACCGATTTCTTTTCTAGTTAGACAGAATTCATTATTGAAATGATTCAAGTTTATCATGATTCACCAGACATGGATGATGATTTTCATTGAAAATAAATGATAAAATTGATAAAGTTTATATAAATATTCTTAACCAAATGCCATTAAGTAGTAATAAAATGATAGTTTTTTTTTTTAACTTCTGCCCTTGTTCTAACATCAGTGGATTTTGGCTGTCAAATGCAAATAAAACATTTTGTGGTTTTTGGAATACTATCATACAATTTAGATTGTGAATGTAATTTCTTGTATGGTTGTGCACAAAATATTCACATATGTCTACATAGCTAATTATGAGGTTAATAGTGACCATGAGCTACATGTTATTTTCTACTCCTGCTGCTGTGGAACACCAGGCACAAAACTCCCCTAAAGTGTGAGAGCTGCCTCCTAATGGAAGAAACCCCTGAGGCTTTGGGGCAGCAGCAGTCACAGCCCAAGGCTGGGAATCAGCATCCTTCTTCCTCAGCATGTGCTTTCTCCTGGATACAAGCAACAGAAAACAAGATGATGTTTTCTTTTGCTCCTAAAGGTATTTTCAACAGATAGGACAGTACTGTTGATAGCACACTTCGTTTCTCGTGCTGGAACTGCTTTTCCTCTAGTAATCTTTTTCATTGACCAACAGATGCAAAGCACAGACCATATGTTCCATGTATCATCTCAGTGTCCACTGGCACCATACACTGCTTTGGAAGCCACAAGGAAACACATTTTGACAACTGATAATTTTACAAAGTACTTACTTTTCACCAGGAGACCCACAGGTAACATCCGTCAGCAGAGAAAAGGCAAAATTCTCTGTCACTTCTACAAAGTGGCTGAATCCCCTAGTGTCCTTGCGCTTGGGGTTAATTAGGGCACAAAGGAGTTCATACAAAAGCGTTCGGCTTTTGAAACTCAAAGCTTGATTTTTTCCTTCCATTGTTATCTGCAAGAAAATCTAAGTATTAAAATATGTATTAAACAGATGAATTCTTAGATTACATATAATATATATACTACACATGTTTTTAGTAACAATCATTAACAGTGACAAATATGGAAATATGAAGAACTGAGGAGAAGAATGGCATCAAATTATATTTTGAATATACCCTCTTCCATCTAAAAGGCATGGGTAGTCATTAATATAGAAAAGAAATAATCATCAAAATGTTTTCTACTTAATTATTCCTTAAAGTACCAAATGGTGGCATGTATCATTTAAGTTAGCTACAATAGTTAACATCATTAATTAAAATAAATCACTATTGTCATCTACCACAAGAATTCCTTGATGAACAAATAAATATTTCAAAAATATCTTTGAAACAGAAATAAGATTATTTTTACCTATCTGTATTTCAATGAGCAAATAGTGACTACCATATGACATTTAAAGAACAAAAGTACATCAAATTCTATTCAATCAAGAACCTTCAAGACATCCTGGCACACTGCCTTTTAAAATGTGACTTCCTTCCTACCTTAAAGGGCCAAGTTGCTATGTGAAGAACAAGGACAACATTATTGTTCCTTTGTATTCTACTATATCTGGAAAATCCAGATTCCAATGCCATCCATTTATCATTCATCCATTGTGTCTCCTGCCAACACCCAGACTACCAGTTCCTGTGATTTACTGTATATCTTTAGTAATAAACTCATGATATCATTGAAATTATTGACTTTTTTCCTAGCAGGTAAGCTTAGTAAGGGAGTAGCTCCTGTTATTCCTATGTTTGCAACTTGGCAATCTAGCAGTTTCAAACTCACACCCAAACTCAAGGTCTGAATTGATAAGAGCATCCATCTCAAAGATAAGAGAACAGTCCACAGGGCAAGCATGATCAAAATAACCATACAAATTGAATGGTTACAAATGACCAGAGCATAGCCTATTAGGTACAGAAGCAAGGAGATCAAATAAGACAAATGAAACACAAGCTCAAGAGAACCTCTTGGAACTCAGGTAGGTAGTTAACAAATGAGACAATCTTGAGACAGATCCCTAGGACACAGCATATCAAAGCCAGTGAGAAGATGCTTAGTGAGCACCAAAGTATTCAAGTTTACAGATGCAGAAACTGTTTTATATCTGAGAAAATAAAAGGAAATAATATATAATATTACTTACAGAGCTATAAAATTACAATGGGAGACAGATAAGAAGAAACCAAAAATGGAAAAACAAAAGTTTGGCTTGACATTATACATTTGTGAAAGGAAATGGCAAAAGAGCAGTATGTGTAGAATTTTAAGAATTAAGATATATAATCAAGAAGTAGACAGCTAGTCAAACTTATTTATGCTCGAGGGAAACAAAAAGTTTACTTAAGTAAAATAAGAACAACAACAAAACACAAACCTCTACAGTTACATTAGTGTAAGTTCACTGTCACTCTCAGTACCTTATGAAACTTGTTTAATCTTGTTGGGAGCCATACAGCTTGGCATGAACCTTTAGGCCAAACTTGGCAGGCCACATGGTTATAGAACTGTCTTTTGATTATAAATGGCTTCTAGAAGTGTGAGCACCCAGAAGGAACAACATGACCCAGACGTCAATCCTTTGTTCCAGCTACAGGCCCACTTACCTAAGCAACCCTCCCGTGTCCCACCACTTACCTAGGTAACCCTCCCTCACCCCACCACCTATGAACTTTTTACCCTGCCAATATCCTCCTTCTATAGTTTTCAAACATCCTGCATGAACTAACACCTGGCTCTTGGCCTCTTCTCCCCCTCCCCTTTACCCCATACTACTGACTATATAAGCTAGGCTGGGAAAAAATAAAATTTGCCACTTGATAAGAATCCTGTCTTGTGGTCATTCTCTCACGTCTCTTGTTTCCATTCCCCTCCCTGGACTTCTTGCTCTAGGTTGCTGTCCTGCAGGTCCAGACAACTACATAATCTCAAGAGTCATATGCAGAGAACTTGTTGTTATTTTATTTCCAGAAAAAGAAACTGAAGGAGGGCAAGAACAACCAACTTGACCCAGGGCACAAGCTTGGTGACTGGCTGAGTCTAAGACATGCCTGCCACCATCTGCACTAGCTTGCAGCATCCCCTACTTGTCAGAATGTAACAGCACAACTTGAGTTAGTCCACTGGCAAGTCTGTAAAACTAAACTGCAAATCACTATCAGTGTGTTCACAAACTGAATCATACGTAGAAATAACTTCAGTAGAAAACACACTATTAAGAAGCCTATGACAAAAGAAATACTCAGAAAATGCAGATTATCAAAATTCATGTGCTAATCAGTAGAAGACCTGAACTTCACATGGGAAAACACTAAGAAGCTGTCAAGACTACAATTAAAAAGGAGAGCTGTTTTGGTTGTGTGTAAGGGGTAGTCTATCAGACTCAAGAGAACATGCTATTCCCGTGCTTTTACGGATGTTCCAGAATATAACATCAGAACTCCTGACTCAAATTCTACCAAGGTCTAATAACAAGAAAAACAAACCTGATGAAATAAAAATTAGAATATCAATCCCACAGGGGCTTAAAGTCTGTTATTAAGGCAACCAATAGCACTAGAAATAATTTGTTTTGTTCCACACTTAGGAAAGTCAGGGGCCAGAATATTTTTATACCAAAGATAATCTGAGTCCACAAACTGGCTTTATCTGAAAAATCTTTATAGTGAGTCTTTTAAATATGTTATTGTTTCTAGTACAACATAGTCTCATCCAAACAAAAACTGGCAGCTACTTCCAATGTGTAAATTTCCATCAAAAGAAACGTGTCATAGGACAAACAGATATCAAAGAACTTCAAATCAGAGAGAAAAAAAAAACTTTCAAATACCAAATATAGTCACTTAAAACACAAGGTCATAATATAACATTTTATACAGCATACAGAAGTTCTCGTCTGTGTGTAAGTGGAGGGTAGGCTATTTTGTTTCGTTTTTAACTTTCAGCATAAAGTACAGTTGAATTTTGAATTTCTATTTGAGGTTCTATTTGAATTTCAGCCAATACCCAGCAATTTTTTTGCTCTTAGTGCATCTCAAAAGAAGTGTTAATGATATAATTACACTTAGAACATGTTGTTCACCTGAAGTTCATAAATAACTAATCATCCTTTATTTTTATTTGCTAAATGTTGCAACCTTATTTATATGTGGTCATTTTCATGTCAGTTATTAACTCATTACTCTTTCAGTCTTATTACATAATTATGTCTAAAACATGAAGTATATTTTTTGAACATATAGTCCTAAGTATATCAAAAGGGATGAATTCTGATTTTGTCATCAAGAAGACAACACACATATACTGTGCTTCCACAAACCTCCATGGTTCAGCCTCTGTATACACAGGCTATGTAACACTGACTGTCACTCATGGGCTGCACATATTCAGGGAACGCTGCTGTACTGTATCGATGCATTTATATATCCACACATTGAAAAGGTACAGCAATGATGACAGTCAATAACATATTTAGAGTTCCTTTTAATGTTTTGAAAACACTGTTGTACACACAACTCATTGTTGACTGAAACACTTTAATGGCTGTTATTTTTCCAATTTTTTGTTATAATAATAATGCTGAAACAAACCTTATATTACACATACAGTTGCACAAACATTCTTATTTGTTATTCTGAAACACAGTACTTACTAGGTGTTCACCATGAGCCAAATATTAGAAGCTGTGATTTAAGAATTCTAGAGTTACTCAAACTTTTATCTAGCAAAGATAGTTGCTTATGTAATAAAGCATATGAATATTCAAAATAAAGCAACGATCTTATGTTGTTAGGCTATTTGAATACTTTATTGAAATAAGTATTGAATTATAAGCATGGGCCACCAACACTTGGCATTAAGTATTGATTTTTTTTAAACACAGTATCACTATCCAACCCATGCCTCCTGCCTCCACTTCTCATCTTTACTTCTAAAATGTAGGAATATTAGCATGTGCTTCATCTATCTGTCTGTCTATCTATCTATCTATCTATCTATCTATCTATCTATCTATCTTACTTATTTTTCTGTGTAGAAGTGCTTTATCTGCATACATGTTGTGTACCATATGTGTGTCTGGTGCACAGAGGCCAGAAGAGGGTACTGGATTGCCTGGAGTGAAGCTACAGCCAGTTGTGAGCCACCATGTGGGTTCTAGAAATTGAACCCTCATTCTCTGGAAGAGCAGCCAATTGCTCTTAACTTTTGAGTCATCTCTCCAGCCCTACACTACGTCTCATTTTTATAGTGTTGCCTTCTGACTGATAATAATACATGGCTTTAATATATAACTTACTGAAGAAAAGAGAGTAGCAGAATTCCATTCTGTCATTTTTTTCCTCTAAAATATCTGAAATTCTCTTCTTTCTGTTCTACAATGTAGTCATTACATATGGTTTCTATCCTTTTTTTGTCAAGATCAATTTACTGTTGTTCTATCGGTTTTATTTTTAGGAGTTTAAGTATCACTCTTCCTTGGAATGAACTCTATCTCAAGAGTATACTCTGCATAAAGGGGCAGTCATTCTCTGTGCTTTACAAAGGTTTGTTATGGCCTCTTCTTACCCAATATGATTTTTAATTTTTCTTCCACCCTTCATGCACTGTGCTTTGAGAAATATGTAGACTAGGAAGAATATTTTAAGATCACACTGCAAACATTTTCCATAATTAAAGGTCTCTGTGTAGGAAATAGAGCACCAGTGGGTTCATATATATGTACTCAGAACTTTATGCATGTATATAAATATGTTAAAAAGAAATTATCTTGATAAGATATAAAATAAACTACAAAAATTAAAAATAAATTATAAAATACATTTCTCTCAACAATAATACTTTTTAGATATTATTTTCCATTTATAATTTTGAACTTTTAAATCTCTATGTGATTACACACTTTGTAGAAGGGTAAATAAATAATTGATCTCATATTAACAGCTGACTATGGCAAGTCCTTGCAAATGATGCCTAAAATTATTTGGTCACTCCAACTCTTTCTTTTCAACAAATATTTGTTAGTTTCTAGGAAGAGCAGAGCAAGGGGGTAACTGCTTGTGCTTCATGTATGAAAGGGTTAATATAGAGTATAGTCCAGTCCCCATCTTCTTATGAACTCAAAACACTAATGAGCAAATGGCAAAAAAAAAGCCAGTCAGTCTCTGGACAGTCAGGAAGGACCTGTCAGCTCAAGCATCTGCAACAATTCAAACTCTGGCTGGATTCTAGCTGAAGCAGCTTACTCATGGCTCTCCAGTTTAAAAGAAAGGATGCCAAAGAGACCTCACTCAGTACAAGTAAAGTGGCATGTGGGACAGATTCCACTCTTGTGTTTACAAATTCTATTTTATCCTAGTACCATAGCAATGGATATTATAAGAGGATGAGGTATCTGCACTGATTCAGGCTTTATGACCTTCTCAAGCGGTGTGCTTACATCTGCAAGGATGCCCTACCTTTTCCATTAAGTGCATCACAGCACTGAGCTGCTCATCCGTGTTCTCTGTGGCTACTTTCATGTTGAGATTATGCAGCACCCTGTTGAGAACTTCTTCATGTATGGGCTGATGTAGCTGATCTGCAAGCCCCCAGATCGCTTGTGAATCCACATCAGAGACAAGAGTGACGTTGGCAGTCCCATACACTTTATCAATTCTGGCGCCACCTTTTGGGTCAAAAAGCACAATCTGGAAGCGTTTAGGAAATGCACTGAAAGACCCGCTCTCTGGTGTTAAGACAACATCCAGAACAGCGCTGCTCTGGCCAGGTTCAAAGACCAGTGTGCCTTCTGTTCTCACAAAGTCCTTTCCAGAAACAGCCGGAGAGATGAGAGCACGACCAATTGTTTCAGCACTCCTCAGCTCCTGAAAATTAGACAAGAAAATGAGACTGTGATGCCTCCAACATTATCCTAAACATTCTTATTTCTTGAACAAATTCCCCTTCTTTTCAGTCACTAACTGCCAGTAACTACATTGCCACTAGACATGGACTTTATATTTTCCTAACTGCCCTCAAGAAGCCAGTGATGATGAGGTTAGGGTACAGGACTCTGCACTGAAATTAATCAAGAAAAAGGACCAGAAATGAGATGACGCTGTCTAGGAAAGAATCTTCAGTTATGAACACAGCAAATGCTGGAAAACCAAATATGGGGGATGGAGAAGAAGTATTAACATTTTAGTCTCACCTAGAAATTTAGGGGCAGGGATATCTGAGGTCTAAAGGTGGGGGAAAGAAGGGAAAGATTGGATTCTTACCCTTCAGTGTGGAGATGTGCTATTGGATTGGTTTCCTAAATAATATACATCTCACTTTTCAAATTATAGTTATTACAAAGGTTTTAGAAAGTTCAGGGTTGAATACTAGAGCCAAGAAAAGCCAAAATAGTGTGTCTGTATTCAGGACTAAGGAATGAAGTCCTAGTATTCTCCAGCACATATATTAGGATGTAGAATTGAGGGGCATACTATCTATAACCACAGAACCCACAATTCTGGCACAGGACTCACAGTATTAAACTATGTAATTAATGGAAGGGTTTTACAGGGATTTCCCCAAACAGAAATAGGACAAAGTAGAGACAAAGATGCAGGGTGATGTTAAAGACACAATTATAAACCAGGCTGGACATGGAATTTCAACAGAGACCTCATTAAAGGACCGCTTACATGCTAACCCCAGGAGACAGATTCTGAAACTAAGGAGAAATATTCCAGGCAATGAAAATAGCAATTTAAAAGACCCTGTGGTGAGAATAACCCTATAAAATGATAGGAAGTACTAGACAGCCAGTATGAATGGAAGGAGGAGTGTGTTAGACACTGACATGAAGAGTGGAAGATGTCACAGCATGTGTAGCCATTAGTTGAAATGCAGCCAGAAAACACAGAATTCAAGCAGGAGAGTGACCCATTTTATTAAAAATTCCATGAATAGTCAGGGGAATATGTACGCTAACCTATAGTCAGGTTAAGCACAATGGCAGAAAGAGGAGACACAAGTCCTCTGAGACCGTTCACTCAAGGGCCACATTAGTAGAAAGCGTAGAAATTTCTAGAATGGAAGAGTGTGGGTGCAGTTAACAGGATCTCCTGATATAATCAGCACAGGGTGAGAGGAATATAAGAATTGAGGATGACATCTAGTTGTTTGCCTGGATGGAGGAGTTATTGTACAGATGGTGGGAAACCAGGTGCAAGAGATATCTGTGACATACATGAAGTCTGAGGTGTCTCCTAGACATTCTACTGAAGATGCCAACATAGGACAATCAGACACACAAAAGGCTGTGACATTTCTTTGGTGTGTTATGACATATAGCTTTAAGTGACAGTATCAAAATTTGGTTAACTGAAGACACATTTAATGAATCACACATTAAAGTGATATTTTCATCAGTTCAAGTAACAAGGACCAGAAATTTCTTCTTAACTACATCACAAATACTTAGGGGTAAGAGAATTTATGCTAAATCTATGGGTTTTTTGTTACATAGAAATGTATCTGTTGGTGACTGGTTTAATTGCACTATTCTAGTTACACTGAAGAATCGGTGCCATTGGAAACCCACAGAAACAGCTGACCTGAACAAAGCTATTGGTCTGCAGACTGATATCTGGGAAACCAACATGGGACTGATCCAGACCCCATGATTGTGGGAGACCTTGGAAATCTAAGGAGCCCCTTGTAGTAGACCAGTACTTATCCCTAGCATAGGAATGGACTTTGGGAGCCCATCCTACATAGAGGGATACTCCCTGAGCCTAGACACATGGGATGAGCCTAGGCCCTATCCCAAAGGATATAACAGACTCAGAAGACACCCTATGGAAGACCTCACCCTCCACGGGGAGCAGAAAGGGTATGGGATAGGTAGAGTGTTAGTTGGGGGCAGGGGAGGAGGGAAGAGAGAGGGAACTGGAATTTACATGTAAAACAATCTTGTTTCTAATTCATATAAAAAATTTTAAAAAAAGAATCGGTACCATTGGATAGAACAATAGCTTGCTCCATAATATTTTCACATTCTTTTGAACTCATGGAGAGCACAATTGCATATTCTTAACTTCTAATATCATACTCACTCTTCAGAAGCAAGAAACTGAGAAGCAATGAAGCAAGAACAAAGCACAAAATCACCTTAAAAGTAAAACCATGGTTTCTGGTTTTCAACTGGCTGTTTTGATTTGAGATTTTCTCTGTTTGCATGGTATAATACAACAAAGTATCATTTCCTGCACTCTACACTCAATACCCTTTATTGCCAACACCTTGTAAATGATATTAACACTGAGAGAGAGGGTCACAATACTATTTTCTTTTCCTAAGATCTTTCATGGTAACTTTCATAATGACTCCCCTGCCTGCCAGCCCCTCATTGTTTTCAATTCCTAAGTTCTTCTACACTTCTTTTTTTTCCTTTTTAAATTATTTTATTTAAATTAGAAACAATCTTATTTTACAAATCAATCCCAGTTCCCTCTCCTTCCTATGCTCCCATGCCTCCCACCAACTGCCTCCCAGTCCCACTCCCAAGGATGAGTTCAGGCCTTCCAAGGGGGATCACCAAAGTCTGCCACATCATTTGGGGCAGGGCCTACGCCCTCCCCTGTGTATTTAGGCTGAGAGAGTATCCCTCCATAGAGGAATGGGCTCCCAAAGTCTATTCGTGCAATAGGAATAAATACTGGTTCCATTGCAAGAGGCCCTATAGACTGCCCAGGCCTCCTAACTAGCACCCACACTCAGGGAATCTGGTTCAGTCCTATATGGTTCCCCAGTTTCATGGCTGGGGTCCATGAACTCAGGTCAGCTCTTTCTGTGGGTTTCCCCAGCATGGTCCTGACCCTTTTGCTCATCACTCCTCCCTCTCTACAGCTGGATTCCAGGAGTTTGGCTCAGTGCTTAGCTGGTGATCTTCTTCCTCTTCCATCAGCTACTGGATGAAGGCTCTAGGATGTCATATAAGGTAGTCATCAATTTCATTCTAGGGGAAGAAAAATTAAGGTAGCCTCTCCACTATTGCTTAGATTGTTAGTTGGGGTCATCCTTGTAGATCTCTGGACATTTCCATAGTGCCACATTTCTCTTTAATCCTATAGTGGCTCCCTCTATTAAGGTATTTCTTTCTTGCTCTCCTCTACTCATTCTCCGACTCAATCTTCCTGATCCCTCATGTTCTCCTCTACCAAGTTGTAATTTTCATATGTGAGTGGAATCTTTGACTCTATTATTTTGGGGATTTTTTTCATTTAACTTGATAAGGAGATTACATCAGCTGATATATCTTGAGGGCTTGTTCCTTACCACACTAAATAGAAGTCCACAGTTTGTCTAACCTTTTGCCAATTGATGAACAGTTTTATTATCAATAAGCTACCAAAAAACATTCATGCAGAGATTTGTCTGTGGGTAATAAGTTTTCATTGGAACAAATGCCCAAGACAGCAATTTCTGGGACCTGTGTAGTTCATGTACAGTAATTTAAGAAACAAGATATCTTCCAGGGTAGTTATGCCAGCAATAAACAAATTAGCCAGTCTCTGAATTCTTGCCAGTATCAGGTATTGCCACTGATTTTTTGACAACCATTCTGGAGGGTTCTGATGAAATCACTGTGGCTTTATGGGCACGATGAACATCTTTTTTATATAAACATGCTGTTTTGTGAGATGCCTCTATGTATTTGTCTGGTTTTGCTTACTGCATCCTAAAATCTATATTTCTTGTCATTGCATTTGAATTTAGAAAATTTTCTGATGGCATTCTTTCACTGTTAAGTGTGTGGGTAGGAAAGTATTACTTTCCTTCTGAGAATTCCTTAATTTCTCTTTCATTTCACAGGGATGTTTTCTCTACAGGTGAAACACAAGGCTAATGGTTTAATTCAGTATTTGAAATCTATGGTTCATAGCTGGGATCCAGCTTTTCTCTCTCAGGATTTCAGTATTTTCCTGTTATTTCTTAAATTTCCTGCAGTTTGGCTATCATGCACTGTTATCTTTACTATTGGGATCTAGAATCCCTGAAGAGACAGGTCTTTGAGTAGGGGAAGGGAGCATTTAGATTAGATTCACTCAGGTTGAAAGATCCCTTCTAGGTGTAGACAGTGACGTTCCAGGGACTGGAGTCCTGGACTGAAGGAAAGGAGAAAGCTGAGTGAGCATCAGGTTTGTTGCTCTGTTCCTGACTGTGGATGCAGAATGACCCTGCCTCAGACACCTTGACCTCCCCCCACCCCATGATGGAGCACATCCTTAAACTGTGAACAAAACAGACCGTCCCTTCCTCAAGTTACTTTTGTCAGCTGTTTTGTCTCAACAAGAAGATAGTCAATCAACATACTTCCTCAACAAGTTTCCTTTATCTTCCTTTCTTTCTACCTTTTTCTGTTTTTAGTTTCTTGATCCTATACATTAATAACCTTTATCAAATTGAAACTTTTCAATCACTATTATTTCAAGTGCTTTTTTCCAATCACGATCTCTCTCTCTCTCTCTCTCTCTCTCTCTCTCTCTCTCTCTCTCTGTCCTCTGCTTTACTTTTTTTTTTCTCTTTTTTTTTTTTTTTTGGGTTGTAGTGTTAATTTTGTTGTTGTTACAGCTGTATAGGTCCCTAAGCCACTGTTTGTTTTCTCAATCTATCTGCTGCTGCTGTTCAAACTGAGGATGAATCATCATACTATGTGCAAGATTTTTGTCTCCTTTGTTCCTTCATTCTGCTGAGATTATCCAGTTTATTTTAGTTGGTGTATTTCCACATGTAAAATTCCTGTTTACTAGTCTGTGTGTCCTCTGTTTACTAACAAAGAATTCCTCTTTACTTACTGAGAGAATTTCTTTCTTTGCCTTGTTTAACTATTTTTAAAGCATTTTGTGGTAGCTGTGTTACAATTTTATTGATTCTCTCTCATATTTGGCTCATGTTACTGCTATCATCTATTAATTCTTATTTTTCATTCCATTTTAGGTCATCTCCATTCTTGATATGACAGATAACTATTAATGGGCAACTTACATGTCACATCTTACCTCATGAGACTCTAGACATTGTTCTTTTTATTATTATTATTATTATTATTATTATTATTATTATTATTATTATTATTATTATTATTATTATTATTATTATTATTATTATTATTATTATTATTATTATTATTATTATTATTATTATTATTATTATTATTATTATTATTATTATTATTATTATTATTATTATTATTATTATTATTATTATTATTATTGTGCTGGCTTATTTTGACACTGTTGTGGCCAAAGAAAGGAAATGACCACCTCACTACTGGCAGATAAAGTGAAGTTTTCCTAATTGGTTTGTGGAGACACTAGAGGGAAGAGAGTTGTCTTTATTGTTAGGTAGAGTGAGAGCTTGCCAATAAACTCACCTCCACAGATATCTCTTTGGATAAGAGGTGTGTGAGAACTTCTCCACTAACATTGTGTCAGTGCTGGGGACCTTTTCCTATTAGATGGCAGGCAAAGCCCCAACTCTCCATTAGGTGCTATGACACAGTATGCAGATGTGGATAAAGCTGAGGTAAAGTGTTTCAGGCATGTTTGACTGGAGAATACAAAATATTTTCAACTAAAAGCTTTCTTCTGTCTTGCTTCCTTCGCTGCTCCTTATACTACAGGCAGCATACAGGTTTTCACTCCTTGCACTACAGACAGTATATCTCCATAGGGGGTTTTCACTCCTGGCACTACAGATAGAACATTTGTAGGGGGTTTTCCTGCTCTTGCACTAAAGACATTTTATCTGGGAATTTTGTTCTTTGCATCACAGACAGCATATCTATATATTTTTTAAATTCTTTTTTAATTAGTGACTCCATATGGCAAGTTCGTCAGCTCAAAATCTTGGGTATGAGGCAAAATGGGAACTATGGAACTTACCTATTTTTTTTTGAATGAACATTATTATTATTATTATTATTATTATTATTATTAAATTAGTAACAAGCTTGCTTCACATGCCAATCCCAGCTCCCTCTCCCTCACCTCCTTCCCTGCCCCCCCACCAAGTCCCCCCAAGTCCCTCCCCCATCCCCCCTCTGCTCCCGAGGGAGGGTGAGGCCCTCCATGAGGGATCTCCAAAGTCTGCCATATCATCCCAGGCAGGACCTAGGCCCTCCCCTATGTGTCCAGACTGAGAGAGCATCCCTCCATGTGGAATGAGCTCCCAAAGTCCATTTGTGTGCCAGGGTAAATACTGATCTACCACCTGAGGTCCCATAGACTGCAGAGGCCTCCTCACTGATACTCACACACCTCTTTATATACCATTTGGGACCCAAATCACTACTCATTTGTTTGCTCCCCTGTGTTTCAGAGTCACCTAATATTGTTTTAGACATAATTCCCATGGTCTGTGGCCATCAGTAGGGAAGGGCATAGCTGTTCCACATTAGAGAAACAAAAATCTGCATTTATAGGAAACGCTTCAGGTTCGGGTTCCAGCTTTCACTCCCATGTGACAATTGTTAACACAGCATTGGTATCACAGCATTGAGTCTGTAATCACAGGGCAGTGGATCATAATTGGAATAACTGGTGTGTCTTCGTGGATACATATGTTCAACTCTCTCATCCAGGCGTGTGAGCTTGTTCATAAAAGTGCCTCAAATATCTTCTTTATATGTTCCCATCTCTAGTTCCCCTTCTATCTCTATAAACTCATGCCTTGATAGTGAAATATCCCATGGGAGAAGCATGAACATAAACCATGCACCTTTCTCATTCTCTTTCTATCATAACCATGCTAAACAAAATAGTAAAATCTCAGTATGAATAAAAATGTTACAATGTTTGTAGTACTGTATGCCTATATAAAATGGAATTTATTTTATTATCTTCTGTTATATTATATTATTATCTTCTGCTAACTGATCTCCACACAAGTCTAAATCTCACCCATAAATCTAAATCTACCCTACTCTATGACACCAGCCACACTGCATCACATGAGCCAACTACATCATACTAACTACACTACGAAGAATGTTACTAAGACTTTGAGGCCTAGATGGCAAGATCTGGAGTCTTAAAATGGGGTAAATAACAACAGTATGCACAATTCTAGTTTCCTATTGGTTGAATCCTGGAGGTACAGAAGTGAAGGGAAAAATCCAGAGCGCTCAAGTGGGTGAGCTACAATCTCCACAATCATTCCTCAAACAATAGATAACACGTTTAATTGCTTCGACTATATTAGAATTTTGTTGGCGAAACTAAGTAAAAAAAAATAATAACTGCTGAAAAGGCATGTGAGCACACAGGCTCTGGTCTCCGTGATGCAGTGTTGCTCTCTGGTCCTCCAACAACCCAGCTAGTCTTTCACTGGATAGCACATGCAAGGACGAACTAGCAGTGAGTGTCAAAGTAGTGCTATACAAAATGTAGGTTCAGTCAGTATTTAAGGATTGACAGGGAAAAAAATCACAACTAGTTCGAATATGAGCTGTAGGCAAACTCTGTTTTCTGTTCATGTTGAAAAAGCTGCAGCAGAGAAGGTTCTATGCTGAGACGCCAGAGAAGTGACAGAGAAGATTTGCCAGTGGTGCCTTGCATCCGACAATTAACTCTGCCAAACAAAGTGATCAAAAGAGAAGACCTATGGTTTTAAAACATGATTTCTTAGTGACCAGAGAAAACTGACCTGATGTAACAATAAAACCGTATATTAAATAAACAGCAAGTTATCATAGTATCCTCAGAAAATATTGTTTAGCATTATTGTGTCATTATACTCCTTATAGATAGATGAAAAGATTCTGAACATACATGGCTTTACTTTTCATGCCTACCTGGGTACTAAAGTTAACAGACATCATCATGCCTGTCCCAGAATCTCTGACCACCTGCAAACTGATCAAAGTGGCCCTCTTCTGAGCCACAGCCAGCCGAGATCCCACAGAAAAGAAAACAAGACTCTGAGGCTCATCAGTCTTGGAAACTTTAATCCGTGCGAATCTAGCACTGTTGTTTATAGCTGCCCCAGCAGTGACATCATACAGCTCCACAAAAAACTGCATTTCAACGTGAGGCACCTGACAGTAAGGAAAAGAAAGATTTAACTATTAGAAATATACTCCTGTTTTTACATATTTCTACCACTAAGAATGCTATAGTTCATCTACAGCATTATAGACATGAATATATACATGTATTCACACATATATATAAATACATATCTGTGTGTGCACATGTAACAATAATTATCAAAGAAAACAGACAATCAACTTAAGAGTCATGACAGAAGTTGGAGGGAGAAAAGGTACCTATGAGAAAAAAGTGACATAATTCTATTTCAATTAAAAATATTAAAAAGAAATAAATACTAAGGACATGTTTTGTATAATTACAGAATATTAAATTCTTATATTAAATCACTATGGCAACTGTTCTTTTTTTATTAACATAACATTTTATTGACTCTGGGAATTTCATATCATGTACTCCAATTTTACCCATTTCCCAGTTCTTCCATGTCTGCCTGCCATCCTTGTATCCTCCCCCAAAAAGAAAATTTTTAAAAAGAAAAATAATGAAAAAGAAAGAAAGAACATTTTGTTCCTCTGTCTTTCCTGCTTCACCATCACATATTCATTTGTTGTAGTGGCCTTGGAAACGGGCATTATGTTATACAGTATTCTCTTTTGCCAAAACAGCTTTACTTCCAAATGTTCATTGCAATGAGTTGTTGGTCCAGTTCAAGGCTCTAGTATACCATCAATACTGGACCCTCACAGAAATTTCTCTTGGATATCCTCCTATTGCCCCAGTCATGGAGACACTGCAGCTATAGGACTGCTACCTTCCATGAACTCCAGCAACTCACAAATGCAGTAGGGTGGTCCAACTCAAGGCCCCAGATATGGGCCTATAGCTGAATTGGTAGGCCCAGCCTCCACAGGGACCATCTCCCTCAGGCCAGTGTCAGGGCCAGCTCTCCCACACGAAAGCCATCAGAGCCAGCTCTCCCATAGGGATGGTGAGCGGTGGGGCAGTTCTTCTAAACATGGCCCTCAGCTGCAGCTCAGGCTTAGAAGTAGCATTCTAGTCCTTGGGTAGCATACAGATTAGTGTGGCCCAGGAGCAACATGGCCTCAGCTGGTGGCCCAGACCTCAGGTCTGTATGGCCATCAATGGTAACATGGACCACGGACATCAACATAGCCCCAGTTGCAGGAGGGCCGTGAACCCAGGCATGGCCCTTGGCAGTAGCCCAGGCCCAGACATTACATGGCCCCAGGTGGTAGCATAGGCCACCTATCTGTTCCTCACTGCTGCCTTCAGTTCACCTTCTTTCCAAGCACATGAACTGGTCCACTTTTCCTTCTCTCCCATCTCTCCACTACACATTGTAGTAACACCAGCCCTGGCTGCTTGGTGCTGACTATTCTTTTTTAACTTCTTCCTTTAAAACTACGTTTTCTGATAGTGAACTCTCTGGAAAGTAAATGCCTGTGGTGCTTTGAATAAGAATGGCCTCTCCAAGGGCTCATGTATTTGAAAGCTTAGTCATCCGGGAGTGGCTGGACTTGAAAGGCCTAGAAGGATTAGGAGGTGTGAACTTGTTGAGGTATGTCACTAGACATGGGTTTTGAGGTTGCAAAAGCCCACACATGCTAGGCCTAGGCTTTTTCTTTTTGCTGACTGATCAAAATGTTGCATTCAGCTACTGCTCCAGTATCTGCCTGCATGCCACTATGCTCCCCGCCATGATGATAATGGGTTAAACCTCTGAAACTGTAAACAAGTCCCCCAATAAAATGCTTTCTTTCATAAGACTTGCCTTGATCATGGTGTCTTTTCATAGCAATGGAACCTTGACTAAGGCAAGGTCTAAAGGTAATGTACTTAAACACAATCAGCAAATGAGGAATAAATAAAACGTATTCACACAACCAGCTAGTTAAAAACCAATGGAAGCAATAAAGCATTCAAATATTTTTCAAAATAGGTAGATCTCAGAATGTGGCAACAAGAGATAATATCAGGTTTCATAAAGACTGCATAATTATATACATATATGTGATACCTTAACTATAAAAATAAAAATGATATAGTGTTTACTCCATGTGGTCAAAAGGTATTTACATAAATATTCAAAACTCAAATAAAATATGTCACACATGACAGCAGCTGCCTCAACACTGATGTCATGTGGAAACCGGGCAGAGTGTGGAGTTGAATAACACTGTGGATTACAAAAAAAAAAAAAAAAAAAAAAAAAAAAAAAAAAGGGGGAAAAAAGAAGAATTCAATATCATAAGATCTACTTATTTATAGTTTCTTTTGAGACAGGCTTCTCTTGAACTAAGTGTTTACCCAAGGACAACCTTGAATTCCTGATGCTCCACCTGCTCTACTTCTCAAGTGCTAGGATAACAGTTGTACACTGCCATTTCCAGCTTACATGATGTAAGGGATCAAACCCAGGGCTTTATTTGTGTTAGGTGAGCACTGTCACCTGAGCTGCAACTTCACCCCAATTTTTTTCTTAAGTTTTTAAAATTTTAAACAAATATGAGTATATATTGGTAACAAATTCTATAATTCCATATAATTTTCAAATTTTTAAAAAACACTGTATCAAATCAAAATTAACTCTGTTCATGCTCCAGCCTTGTTTTTCTCCCTGAAATCACTCGTTTCTGAAGCCTGAATTGCTCTTCATAACACATTGTCAATCATCTGTTACTACAAATGATTTATTCTTACAAAGTGAAATCTGAAATGTTTAGCAGTGTTGTTAGCATCCTGGCAGATCTTTCTAAAGGTGACTTGATGTGCTTTCAACTGCACGTGTCATTGTCTAATAGTACATTAGACAGATTTTTCTCTGCCAGCAGGAGCCTAATCCATCATTTGTTTTGTGATCATTTAAATGACAATCATTATGTCATGAAACAAAACATGAAATCGTTCAGTATTATCCAAAAAAGTTCTATTATTAGTCATAAAGGAAATGCTCTTAACCTCATTTTCAATGTCTGAAGAAATGTGTTTAGCTATCCAACAGCAAATAACCTTCTTTACTTTTGCTGATAGACCATCAGTAATGCTGGAATGTGGAAATAAGTGTATTCTTTCCACTTAGAGAAACCATAGCTGGCAAATGCAAGATGAAGCAGTAGGGAAAGTAAGGGCAACTATATCCAAGAGCCAATATTCCCTAATGGCTGTGGGAGCTCAAATTCACAATAGTCTCTTTGAACTGAAGATTTTGGCATATTAAGTTCCAATAGACACTCTTGTCTTTATTTTCCAGTAAAATATTCCTTTTCATTGTGATGATGACTAGAACATTACTTATATCCACTTACTGTCAAAAGAACGTGTTGTAATCTAAGTAAAGGACTATCTAAAAATTGAATAGTGTACAGATGGATGCCTACATATAATTAGACCAGAGACAAAAGGAATCTTCCAGTCAGACAAAGAAATGCTCTATTCAAACAATGTGCCTGAAGTCTATTGAGAAATAAGACTTAAAGATGATACCTGAACCTCTCCAGACTCCTAAACATGATGGGAAACCTCTCATGAACCCATGCAACAACAACAGGTCCCTCTCCTAGTGAGACAGCTGCACTTCAGGGTGGCCTCTTGCCCTAACCAGTATAACATTACTCTCTCTGGGCTCCAAACTGCTCAGCAGCAGAAAAGTAAAAGCAAAACAATATCTTACCTAAATATTTTTCTAAAGGAAATTTGTACCAATGTCTAAATGCTTCATTTAGTTTAAATAAATTTGGTCAGGAGTGTGCCTGCTGTCTTAGTTTTTTCCCTGTTGTAATAAATTAACTTGACAAAAGCAACTTGAGGATGAAAGGAGTTGTTGGCTCACAATTCCAGATTATAATCCATCATTGTGAAGGAGCCAAGGAGGTAAGAACTTGAAGCAGCTAGGGATATTACATCCATAGTCAGGGATGGAGAGCATGGATTAGTGCACGCACACCAATTTTCATTCAGCCTAGAAACTGGCTTACAAAATGGTACTGCTCGTATTCCAGGTGGCTCTTTCTACCTCAGTTAACACAACTAAGAAACCCCTCACAGGTACTCCTACATGCCAATCTAATCTAGACAGTTCCTCTTTGAGATCTCCTTCTAGGGTAGGTAATACACTGTATCAAGCTGACAATCCAAATGAACTATCCTACTTCCTGAGCTAATCCTTATTTTATATGTTTTGTTATTATAGAATCAGAAGATAAAACATCCAGGAAAAGGTGGGTTGGCTGAAATTCAAAACATGGGTTCTAACCTGCCTAAGTAATTGATTAGGCAAGTCGGTTAAGTTCTTCATAACTTGAAAATGAAAGTACTGAATAAGTGTGCAGTTGACAACAGGAAAAATTAGAGCAAAAAGTTTTAAAGTTAAGGATAAAGAAACTGGACTGAGGGAGATACCAATTCAACTGGTCTTGTCACTCTATGGACAGGTGTGTGTGTGTGTGTGTGTGTGTGTGTGTGTGTGTGTGTGTATGTGGTGTGTGTGTTATCTGTAAACCTCCACAAGCATTGATGCAGCTACTGCAGAAGACTGGATTCCCTCAGGCTCCAGGCCATCCCTTCTTAGTAATAGCCCCATCAATCATCTCTTAGGGTCAATTCCTTGCCAAGAACTGTGCTAATAACCTTCATTTGTTATCATCACAATTACTCTTCCTAATAGCCCTTTATTAACGCCTTTAAATGTCTGAGGCTGGTCATTGCTAAACAACTTATCCAGTATTACTTAATTAATTAGTGGACAAACTAAGAATTGAACCATGGACTTCTGTTGTCAGAGCTAAAACTCTGAACTATCATATGAACAATTGAACAAGCTCTGTGTGATTGAAACCATTTCTCTGGCAACAACTGCAGACAGTTCTTAGGCCAAAAGGTTAGGACTAATTGTATTTGTCCACTGTCACATCCACACAGGCTCTCAAAAAACATTGCAAAGAATCATGGCTATGCTTTCCTGGCAAACACTGCTAGTTCTTAGTTTAGGAGAAACAGAAATAATCCAAACTTGAAGAGCCAAACGAAGAACTTTAAGTAATAAAACAGAATTTGTGAAAATGCAGAGAAGGTTATAGTGCTTTATTGTTTTCATCTTCTTAAGAACACACTCATATTCCCCTTCTTCACTCTTGAGATAGGATCTTGTGGCCCAGGCTGGCCACAGACTTGTGCTCTTCATGCCTCAGCCTCTGGAGTACTGAGATTAAAGATCTGTGTCTCCACTTTCAGCTCTTTCCTGTTTGACATTTTCTTTGACTGAAGTAGGAATGTCCTATCCTTGCCTATGACTTGCATTTATTAGCTGGAAAGACAATGGAGACAATATTTCTTACCTATCTACAACTGCTTAAATATGGGCTTTTGGCCTTGCTCTAGTTAAGACAGTGGTTCCCAACCTTCCTAATGAGATGACCCTTTAACACAGCTCCTTATGTTGTAGTGACTCCAGCCATCAAATCATTTCTTTGCTACTCCACAACTGTAATTTTGCTACTGTTATGAATTGGAATGTAAATATCTGTTTTTGGATAGTCTTAGGTAACCCCTGTGACCCAGAAGAGTCATGACTCACAGGTTGAGAACACTGAATTAGGAGAAAGGCTATTATGCAGTTAGAAACATTTGAATCATCCTCCACATTGAGTCACCCCTGCAAAGAGGACAAACACAGTGCAACCAATCTCTGCTTAACCTACCAGCCCTTTAAGGTTCCTGTATCACTTCGTTTTAGTGTGTGGACATAGCCATGGAAAGTCAGGAGGATGAATGTGATTTAAGTGTTTTCAAGAACGTCCAGAATCGTGATGTATCAGCTTCTCTTTGCCAGTGTGACACAGTGTTACATTAGTAGCTGATGAAAACCTCACTGATGGGAAGTGAAATGCAATCACAGTATGGAAAACAATAAGACAAAGAACTCTAGACTTGAAAAAACAATATATTTTGGAGCTCTAATATAACTGAATCAGCCACAGTACCTGGACATTTGCTCCCAATCACCTTACTTGAAATTCATAAACATCAATCTCTAAAATGTTCTCCAATCAAACATTTTTTTAAACCTTGGACAATAGTTGATTAAATATCTTAGATAAGAAAAAATAGGATGACTCTGAAATATGAAACAGCTGTAAGGCAAAAATGCTTCCAAAAGATTTAAAAGTAATACCAAGATAAAAGTTAATGATATGTTTAGTAGCCTCAGAAATTATTTAATTTAAAAATAACTACAGCTTAGCAAGCAGTCAAAATTAGTTTAAGATGAAACTACAGAAATATCAAAAATCTTAAAGTATAAAAATAGCTGTGAGTGCTGGTGAGATGGCTCAGCAGGTAAAGATGCTAACCACACAAGCCTGGCAACCTGAGTTCCATGTTTGCAAACCAATGACAAGGTCAAAAAAGGAAAGAATCCACTGTACCAAGCTGTTTTCTGACTTCCATGTTAGTGAAGTGGCCTGTGCCCCCCAAGTATTCAGACATACAGCAATAATAAATAAATAAAAAATTTTAAAGTTGTGTGACATTAATGAATTTTCATTAATGAACACTTACTATTTTGTTATTGTTAATATGCAGGAGAATGGAAATGTGGAAATATTGGGAACTTCTGTTAAGCATGTGTTTGTTTATTAAGAAACAATAATCAAAAATATGGTAGTATTCACTTATACTTTAATATTAACTCTTAAATCAGTGGCAGCCATGGTGCAATCTGCAGAACCACAGAGGCTATGTACAGAATAAGGTACTAAGGGGACAGGTAGAGCTCCCTAGGAAATGGAATAGAATACTTATGATGGACAGATCAGGACAGGGGTGACAGGAATGGGAGACTCAAGAGTGAAGGGGACAAGAAGAGGGGGGTGAGGGAGAGAATATGGAGAAGAACAGCTGAAATTAAGAGCCATTTGAGGGATAGTATGGGAACCTGATATGGTAGAAGTTTCCATGCGTGTGTGTGTGTGTGTGTGTGTGTGTGTGTGTGTGTGTGTGTGTGTGTGTGTATGTGTGTGTACACACACATATATGAAAGCATGGGCATCTCTTGCTACCAAATTAAGCTTACAGTACCAGGAATGTTGTTGTTGCCAAAGGGGTCTGTACCATGGAATCCCCCAAACAACCAAGGCTGTTGTCAAGACTCATAAACTGATGACAAGGCCCTCTTGCTGAAGATAATACCTATGCAACTTATTGAAGATAGAGAAGTCTAGCTGGTGCATACATAGAGCCTTCACCCTTATATTCTAACGTTTTTGGTACAAAACGTTAGTCTGTGCACACCAAAGAATAAATGGAAATACCAACCTAGTGGTGTCCTACAATGCTAGTACAATGTTGGCACAAAGCTCGTGGAAGTAACCATCCAATATCTGATATGACTTAAGGCCCACTCCACAAGATAAAACCCATACCTAACACTGCTTGGGTGACCAAGAACCTGAAACTAGATAGCCACAGCCAGACAATATGCAGGGAGTGAAAGATTTCAGAACACTCAGCCCTCAATGGGATGTTCCCATCAAAATTCCTGCACTTAGGGACAAGGAAGCCCCACAGAAGAGGAGGCTGAAAGAGTATCAGAGCCAGGGGGAGGACACCAAGGAAACAAGGCCTTCTAAATCAACAGGACCAATGCACATGTGAACTCACAGAAACTGAGGCAGCATGCACAGGGCCTGCACATGTCTGCACCAAATGGGGTCCTAGAGCTGAGAGAAATGGATATACGCCCCATCCCTGACCCAGAAGCAAGCCACAATTGATAACCACTTGCAAATGAAAATTTAGTTGTCTCCAAGGAAGTCTTACTGGGGGAACAAACTACTCTTAGGGACCCTGGACTTTCTTTTCCACTTTTTAATGTCACAGGTCTTTTGTGTATATATTATGGCTTCCAGTCTTATGCTTTTTATGGGACTCTTCAGTGTGCAAATGAGTGGAGTTCTGTCTATATCTGGTTCTTGTGCCTTTTCTTGGGTTCTTTTTCTTCTGTTTGTTTTGTACTATTTTGATGTGTTAGTTTTTGTTCTATCTTTTATATTATTATATTATAGTGTATTATTATTTCCCTTAGAAGCCTGTTTAGTTTCTAATGAAAGACAGAAAGGAGGTGGGTTGGCAAGAGAGGGGAGGTGGAGGATCTGGGAGGAATTGAGTTAGAAAAAAACTGTAGTCAGGATATAATTTAAGAGAAGAAAATCTATTTTCAATAAAAATAATTTTTTAAAAAAGAAACTCATCACTGTTCTTTTTGCATTTAAGTAGCTTATTAAGTAACTTAATAAGAAGACTGAATATAAAGATTTATTTCTAGAAAAAACAAAAGTGTACCAAAACCAGGGAGAAGTGATTAGCACCCGTGAAACAAAACCAAATGAAGCAGAAATAGGCCAGCAGTTGCCTTTTCTGACACAACAGAACACTTGGGCTAAAGAAGAGCAGCCTGCTCTCCCATCTCCTCCAGGCTGCCCTCCTAGGTACAAGGAGACAGATAAGCAACCTCACACTTGCAGAAGTTCTAACAGGACGTTTATACAGATGTCACTGCAAAGTTTAAAGAATAAATTATTCTGGGGAGAAATAGGGTATTGAGAAAATTATCCTTGAAGGCATGAAGTAATAAAAACTATCATGGATTACTTGATCATCACTTCTCATGTGAAACAGCTAGAGGCTGGAACTAGGTCTCACAACCCAACAAAGACAAAGTGGCAATTACCAAGGGCAAGCTTCAGTGACCAGTGACGAGTGGACTTTTCAGCTTCAGAATAAAAATTCCACAAAATATGAAAATATGTACGGAGACAGCCTTAGATGAGATTAGTATAATTATTATGGCAATTCTCAAAAGGTGACAAAACAAAGAGAGAAATAAAAAAACTGAAACCTACAATGATGTTATTTTAAAACAGGCTTGAGTGCCATGAACAGCTTCAAGGCAAGTGTATCTGTGTGCACTTCAAGGCAAGGCTTTCTCTACTGTATGATGGTTGTGGCTCATGCAAAGAAGCCACTATGATTTTGAACATTCATATCATAATCTGATGAACAGGTTTTTTATTAGATATTTTAATTTAATAAATATGCGGCAAAGAATAAACAGAACTGAGTGTACCTTAGACATTTAAGCATTAAGATCTCTCAGAAAAGTTAACAGAAAAACAGCTACACATGATTATTAAACACCCTGTTAGCTCAGTTGGGTTATTGTTACATAGGCCATTTGAATGACGCAGACTCTCTTGGCACTGGGGTCCGTGTCTGTCTCCCAGAGCCACATGCAACACGAACCAATACTCCTTTGTCTGAGGATGTACCAAGCAGGCTTTCTGTGCCTCTTTTTATAAATCAAAACTATACTACCAAAGAATATGTAAAAGGAGAATAAAGATCCCTCATACAAAAAAGGATAAGAATGGCTGGAGAGATGGCTCAGAGGTTAAGAGCACCGACTGCTCTTACAGAGGTCCTGAGTTCAATTCCCAGCAACCACATGGTGGCTCACAACCATCTGTAATGAGATCTGGTGCCCTCATCTGGTGTGCAGATATAAATGGAAGCAGAATGTTGTATACATAATAAATAAAATTTTTTAAAAAAAGAATAAGAAATGTTTATGAATACGAAAAGAGCAAAGCAGTAAATAGTTTGAGTCAGTTAGAGATACTAATATGGTTGACACATAGCGAATGGCTAGGCCAAGGGTACCCTAGAAATGGCAAGAAACAAAAACATAGAAAATACTCTTGACAAAAATTGAGGATGGCACAAATTTTACATCTAAAATCTAAAAGAGGTTTTGACATTTTACCTAGATGTAATTACCACATAGTATGCAAGTTTCAATATCGATGCTCTGAGATGAGTAATTCTAAAGAAATGGTGAGCAGTTTGTAGCACTTACCTTCTCTGGATTGAGTTCAAGGTGGATAAAACACCGAGTTTGACCCACTGGGCAAGTTGTGACCCCTGCCACAAACCGGAGTTCATCTGTTAGGTTTAACTCCTCTTT